CCATACACTACTTTCACTGAAGATATATCTACGCAAATATATTAGTACCAAGGAATGTTAGTGACCTAGCAACTGGCAGTGAACAGTCGAGAAGGCACACTTTTATTAATGAGTTAGATCCCTGTAGGATTCTCAACAGGTTAAAAATAGGTTCTAGGAACTTACTCTAGATCCACACTTAGGAACAGCATCACAGGTCACCTTTTAAAATATCATGAAGTTTTCTAAAAACACAAGGTAGGTTAAACCCACCGTAAACAAATGCTGAAATAAGAGGAGGAATGGAGAGGGGCAGGCAAGACAGCCTAGACATGGCTCACACTGCGCATGTTATCATGGCTTAGCTTAGAGCACTTTCTCTGCATCTTGTGGGCTCTGACTAGGAGTGCAAGCCACATGCTTATTTCCTCACTGCCCTTTTACCTTCTCTAGTAAGCGACTACATGTAAAGAGTAAGTCACCAAAAGAATTCAGGCTGCTTTTAGAAGGGGTATGGACATTAAGCACCTCAAAAGTGACACCAAACCATTACTCCTGGTTGGGGACAGGATTCTATCGTGATTATTCCTGACTCCTTTCATGTTTTTGGATAGTACCCCACCTTGCTGTTGGCTGCTGATTATGAGATATGAAAAGCCTTTGTCTAAAGGTTACTTTCCTTAAAAAAATAATAAAGTATCCTGAGTAGAATGAGCAAAGGTGAATACCAAAAGATTGTGTCATCATGCTTACCTTTCTAGCAAGCTGCTAGAAATGGGCAAAGAAGTTGAACATTAACATAACACTCCAAAGGATCATGGTAGTAAATTACCCTTGTGTCCCACGGCAGTGAAACGTGCTGCAGCCCCTGTTGCAGATGCACTGATGCTACACAGCCGGACTGGGCCAGCACCCCTCAGGAATCTCTTGTGCCAAGAAAAGGCCTCACTGAAAGGAAGGGAAGGGAGACAGCTGGTACTAGCTGTGCAGGAGTTGGGCCAGGCTGAGACTCGCACTGCGTTAAGAGGTGACAGCAGTAGGTCCAGCACCTCTCCTAGGGAGACAGAACCTGCCCTGCCCTTTCCTCAATGCTAATAAAACAAGTCCACAACCAGAAAAATGAAATATTCATGAATTCAAGGCTTTAGGATTTCAATACAAAGACTTTAAAGAGGTTGCCAGATAGATAGCGCCTGTGGTAACAGCCCTGGCCGGAGGATAAACAGTGTTACATGAGCTATCACAGAAAGCAATTGGTGATATAAACATTACTGTAGAAGAAGTTTGCATACATAACACAGCACTTGGATGGCATGGGTTTGCATTTAGCACAGCAAGCACTATGTTTGTCTCTGGGAAAAAAGGGCCACAGAATTATTCACATCTCTATTCCTTGGCACCTGCTGGCCCTTCTCTGCCCAGAAAACTCTGCTTGTGTTTTAAGACTCCACTTGGCCTCTTCAGACACTGTCCCATCTCCCCATACAGCGGCCCTTGCCTTTTCTGGAATTGTTCATTCATCTGATGTCCTTACACGGCCTCTCAGTTTCAGGTCATACTCATCTTTATATCCATATAATCTGTAATAGAGCCTCATTCAGGATAATTGGGACTTCAATGAATGTGAAGTCTTAGTCTCTCTGATGGGTCTGTAAGAGTTGGTGTAGGCTTAGAAGAGTCACAACGAGTTGTGCATATTTACTATCTCAATCAGCTATCACTACTTTTATTATATTTCTTGTTCTGGGGTTTGAACTCAGCCTTGCACTTGTTAGACACTCTACCATTTGAGCCACTCTCCCAGCTCTAAACTATCACTACTTACAGTTACTGGAGGGTAGAACAATGTAAGTTGACAATGACTAGATACTCAAATGCTCCTACCCCAGTACCACAAAAATAAATAAATAAATAAATAAACTACACTAGGTTATAAAACCCATTCTGTCCTTCATTGGCCTTTTCTTTAAACATTTTAAATGCCTCTTCAATCTGCATGTTTATCCTACTGCTAGTGTGAATGGGAAGATGTATAGCAAAAACGAACTTGAGATGCTCCCATTCTACTTTGACATCTAATGGGGAAAACATTCTAACTTCAAGTCTTGGGTGATGCAACAGATGGTTCCACAAGCCAGTAATGGGAATAGAAGCTGATAGGAAAGTACTGGTGAGTAGACATTGAGTCATTTATTAAGGCATGCTATCAAACACACCTTGCTCTATGTGAAAGATGAGATCTGAAGCTGCATTCAAGGGCACATGTGCTTGTTCTCCATCACTGCTGAGGGGTAAACCCATAGAACTACATGGTTGGTTACTTGGTTTCTTTGTGAGAACACATGCCCTCAAATAATATGACTCCAAGTCTAAGAATTAAAGGTCCTTTTTTTTTTTTTTTTTGAAATTGACCTCATGATTTTATTGTCTCTATAACAAAATAAAAGACGAAGCTTAGAAATGCATCACTTGCACCTTTCTCTTCTATCTCTCCCAATTCAACATGCTTTAGTCTTACTGGTCGGCGTTCTCTTAGATCTGCAGTTGGACTCAGCACAATCTTCTTTGTAGTTTTAGCTTTTTTTTTTCCCAAAAAATAGGCATAGTTTGTCCACTGTGGCCACTTTGCTTCCTGTTGATATGCTGCTTCCCCTGGACACACAGAGAATCTTTGCCCTTCTTGTACTGTGTCGCTTTGTGAGGCAGGTGCTTGCCACACTTTTTTTACAGAAAGTTCCATGGGTTTTAGGAATTTTTAACTGTGGTTACAAAAACAAAGTTTCTTTATTTTTTTACTATTACCTTTGATCACAGAGATTCCAGGCTTGATGGTAACTTCAGTTCTCCCATCTGTGCATGTTGATGTAAGTTACACAGATCTGTCATCAGAACAAATCAAGTCATAGTAGTGATTGTGAGCCTGGGTGCTTTGGATTTGGACTTATCCATAGTACCCACCCTTCCAGTGAACAGTTCCCAGCCTCTTCCACCCAGAGTACCAAAGCTCTCCAGCACATGGTAAGTGTTGGAAAACTGGCTTGGTTTCTTGAAGGAACCTGGAAATCTATAAGAATCTTACTACTGGACTGGATGCACGGTTCAAGGTAAAACAGTTGCCCAGCAAGTGAGAGGCCTTTAGTTCAATCCCTAGGACAGAAAAAAAATTTTTTTTTTTTTTTTTTTTTTTTGTGGTATTGGAGTTTGAGCTCAGGGTTTCATGCTTGCTAGACAGGTACTGTACCACTTGAGCCACTCTACCAGCCCTAAAAGAAAAAAAAAACATTACCAACTGATTTTGGGAGATTCTTTGGTACTATTTTGACAAAGTTGAGGATACACCTATAAGAAAGTAGTTTTTCTTGTTACCACTAACAAAATTATACCAAATAGTTTTTTGTGTTACATTAAACATGACTTAGTAAAGGATTATTCTTTACAATTAGTTCAGTCAGCCCTAGAAAGGAGCCATGTGGTTAAAAAACAAACAAGCCAGAATCCCTGGCAAATTCCCAGCCTAAGTAGATGTCATTCAGGTATAGATAATTGATTTTGTTAGAAAATACAATCTTTATGAACAGTTTTATAGTCTTTTGCATATTGATCTTTTGTATTTTTCTCAATTAAACAGAGAAGAGAACAGGTGCCAAAACCAGAGGAAAGCGTACTCCGTGGTATCAGCTCAGTTGACGGGTGTTTGGTCCTCCAGTTCTCTAACCTAGTCTATGATGTCAATTAGAATTAAAGTGTTAGATTTTTGGGTTGGTTTTTTTTTTATTATTTTCTTGGTGGTACTGGGGTTTGAACTCAGGTTTTTTTGGCAGTACTGGGGTTTGAACTCAAGGACTCATGCTTGCCAGGCAGGCGCTCTATCACTTGACCCACTCTGCCAGCCCTTTCTGTGTTGGGTATTTTCAAGATAGGGTTTCACAAACTGTTTGCCCAAGGATGGCTTAGAACTGCATCCTCTTGATCTCTGCCTCCTAAATAACTAGGATTACAAGTGTTAGCCACCATTGCCTGGCAAAATAAGCTTTTAAAATAGGCTGCAAAGTACACAGTGGCTTCAGTGGATTCTATATGATTTTGGAGTAAATTTAAAAATCAGGATTTTCACTGATGGAGGCCATTGGAAAAGGATCAAGCATCAACAGTGCACCCATTAACCAGAAGCCAACTGCAGACTCCGCTGTTCCTTCATGAGAATGATACATTAGTTCTTGATGACATTCTGCTCTCATTTCCTTTGAAAGGGACAACTTCCATAGGATGGGAAATCTGGAGACTGGTGGATGTAGTAAAAGTTAGCATTGCTGTTTTTCAGCTGTTACTTTGTGTTTTCCTAACTTAGATGTATTAACCTATATGGCTTATCACATAGACTCACAATCTCTAGTAAGCAGCATGTTTAGTTTAAAAGGTCAGTCAAGCAACACAGCGGACCTCCAACCTCCATGCCTGTGTGAGGGAATCTAGGACATCATTAAGCAGTGTTTTACAGATATCTCAGTAATAATAAAAGGAAGTAGATACATGGTAGAGAAGTTACATTTAGGGACTTTTAGCATACACATTCACCCTTTACCTCTGGAGCAAACACTTCTTAAATGTGTGTTAATAGAGGGTTTCTACCTCCTGAAACAAACTCATGACTACTTAAAATGAAGTTAGATTCTGGACTATGTATAAATGTACAACCTAATAGATACTTAAATAGATAAATCTACAGGGTCTCTTGAAAATTAGGACATAGGTAACTGTAACTAGATTTGGCTCTTAAAAAAGTTATTCACCTATATTTTAAGGTAAAACTGCTTCTGATAAATGTCAGAGAGGAGGTTTATTTCTTCTGGCAGAAAGGCAGATAATAAGTGGTAAATGTAACTCAGAGTCATGGTAGTAGTAAGGACTTTTTCATAGGTCTCCTATGAAAAACAGACTTTTGTGGAATAGTATGATTAGTCAGTCTGAAAATAATATGACATGGCTGAACCTAACTGATCATTTTTCTACTTTCTTTCAAGGTGTCTGAGCGCTTGAGTCAGCCCGGAGTGGCAATAGGTTTGGCTTGGACTCCCTTAGGCGGGAAAATCATGTTCGTGGAGGCAAGTCGAATGGATGGCGAAGGACAGTTGACGCTGACTGGCCAGCTAGGGGACGTCATGAAGGAGTCTGCCCATCTCGCTATTAGCTGGCTCCGCAGCAATGCAAAGAAATACCATCTGACCAACGGTGCGTGGCCAGCCACAACTGGGATCCAGCTGTGAGGACAGGAGAGTCCTGAATCACACCCAGGAGGATCCACAACCTGGGACAAAGATTAAGATGAGCTTAAATGATCAGTCAGTAAAGTACACACCTTTGCTTTGAACCCTAAAGAGACTCTGATATCTGTTTTAGGACTGTTTGGCTTAGTGCCTAAGCTAGAAACTGATTCAAAGGTTTTTCTTGTTTTGAGTCCACATAGACTAGAATGTATTCTTCCCAGACTGTCACTCTAATCATACAGTCCATTAATATTTTGGAGGATTCATTTACACAAAACATTTATTTTTATCTCTGATTTTATTAGCAGAAAAAGAAAACAGATATACTTTTTCTACATTAAAATCCTTTTTCTCCTTTTTTAAAGCTTTTGGAAGTTTTGATCTTCTTGACAACACAGACATCCATCTGCACTTCCCAGCTGGAGCTGTCACAAAAGATGGACCATCTGCTGGTGTTACCATAGTAACCTGTCTCGCCTCACTTTTCAGTGGGCGGCTGGTACGTTCAGATGTAGCCATGACTGGAGAGATTACACTGAGAGGTCTTGTTCTTCCAGTAAGTATAGAAAAACCTGTTTATATGGTTTTAATTTAAATTAGTTTTTAAATTTTAAATTAATAGTGGATTCCCTTCTTTCTATGAAATTTTTAATTCTAAATATCCTTTTTTATGCCTATAACTAATTGACATTTTTAACTTTTGGTCAAAAAAAATAAAACCTGACAATTTTCTCCCATGTTTTTCATCTAAAAAAAGACTTAAGGGAAAAAATATTAATGTGGTCATCAGAAATAGCACAGCTTATATGGAGATTTGCAGCTAACCATTATTAAATATATTGCATATGTATAAAATAAGTTAGTTGTAGCTGGGCACCAATGGCTCACACCTGTAATTATAGCTACTTGGGAGGCTGAATCGGAGGGAGGTTGAGATCAGGAAGATCAAGGTTCAAGGCCTGCCTAGGTAAATAGTTCACGATCCTCCATCTCCAAAATAACCAGAACAAAATGGACTAGAGGTGCAGCTCAAGCAGTAGAGCCCCTGCTTTGCAAGCATGAAGCCTTGAGTTCAAACCCCAGGCTCTCCAAAAAAAGAAAAAAAAAAATTTTTTTTTTAAATACATTTGAAATTGAGCTTTTAAATTTCCTTTGAGACCTCTTCTCATTTTATAGAGATCTTAGATTACTATAGTTGATAGAGTCATAGAAAAACTAGTGTAGAATGGAGACAAAGACTAAACATCTCTAATTGCTAAACTTTGAAAATAAAAAAGTTCTTTACATGTTGGGTCTTGGGGTTCTAGGCCGTATCCTAAACTCCCTCCCTAAATGCTGTGATTATATGCATGGAAACTAAGAGACTTGTAATCAGGAGGCTAAGGCAGAAGGATCACAAGTTGAGACCAACCTGGGCAATTTAATAAGACCCAATCTCAAAATAAAGTAATAAAGGACTAGGGGTGTTACCTCAGTAGTTCAATTCCCAGTGATGCAAAAACAAAACAGAATCACTAAAAAATGCTTTTCTTTCCCCATTTTTAAAATTTTTTAAAACCAGAAAGTCATGTTCTACATTGTGTTAACTAAGATGTAATTGTAAGTCTACATTCAGAAACAATGGCCCACCTCTTCTCTTCCCCTTAGCAGGAAATGCTGTTTCACTAAAGTTCATAGGGAGTGCTTTAGTGCCCTGGGTGGAAATGGTAGACTAACCAAAGAATAAAAAGGAATACATTCCAGTACTCAAAAACAACTGTGGTCATCAGCTGATAGGTGGACCAATTTCTGGAAAGAAACAAGTGAGTCAGAACCAGAGGTGGAGACGCTCTTCCCAGCAAAAACCTTGGATAAGGCCTGGCTCAGAATCTAAAGATCAGGAGACTAGCAATAAAATTCACTGAAAAATCTCTGAAGAACAAGTGGGCAGATAACAGCCTAGCCAAGGGCTTGCCTACCCTTAGCAGAGGAGACCCTTCAGTTTCAAACTGTTACAAGAGCCATGAGGGAAAGCAGTGGCATTTCAAAGAAAGACCTAGACAGGCTCCAGTGTCTCACACCAGCTACTCAGAAGGCAGAGATCAGAGGGATCATAGTTTGAAACCAGCCCAGGCAAACAGTTCTTGAGACCCTATCTTGAAGAATACCCAACACAAAAAAGGGCTGGTGGAGTAGCTCAAGTGGTAGAGAACCTGCCAACAAGCAGGAGGGCCTAAGTTCAAGCCCTAGTACCACAATAAATAAATAAACAATTCAAGAACAGAGTCAGTTTTAAAAGTATTGTTTTAGAATTGGTTAAAGAACTATTCAGAAAAAGACTGCAGTAGAGAACAGTCAGTCAATCTAACGGGGATTACAGAAAACAGGAAAATGGAACAGAAGAAGCTGTGAGATAATGAGCATTTCCTAGAAGTGAAAGTGTCTTCAGGTTGAAAGGATCTGTCCCAACCAGACAGATTTCAACCTCTTGGCTTTTCCAGATCACAAGGTCAGTGACACTGGGTGTGCAGTATCTTCAGGCTAAGTGAAAATGATCTTAAATCTACCCTAATCAAGCAGACATTTTCACACATACAAGGAATCAATCTGTACTTCGCCTTTTGAAAGAAGACGGTAGTGGGGTCTGACAGCAGCTGTGCAGGACAACAAGAGCAGCATTTCAATGGGAGCAGCTGGACGGCTGTCTCCAGGGATTCCATGTTCCAGGCAGTATGACTGAGCTGCATTTATTATTCTCAGTGTTTTCTGTGGCTGCCTTCCTCTGCCTCAGGGTCTCTCATCTTACAGTCAAACTAACAGCCACACTGCAGTCATATAAAGGCTGACTGAGGCCAGAGGGTCTGCTTCCAAGGTCTGCATGACTGATAAATGGGTCCTGGTTGTAGGCAGGAGGCTTCAGATTCCTGCCTTCAGAGTTTATAGGCTGTGTGGGGACCTCAAACATGGACTTTCTACCTTCAGGGCAGGTGACCCAAGAGAGAGCAATACAGGCAGAAACTTTTTATGACTTAACCTTGAAAGCCATGCAGCAGTACTCCCCACTTACTTATTACAACCAAGTCACAAAAACTAACCCACACTGGGGGCAGGGGGTACAGACAGACCACCTTCTGTGAAGGGACCAATGTGGATATACTTTATAAAACCACCACAGGAGCCTAGGTAGTAGGGAGTATTTTATTAGGTGGCACAAAAGTCCTGGCTTTACACCTGTAAAGAAGGAAATAATCCTAGCACACAACTAAAGTTTGCAGGAGCAGTTTTGTTTTGGCAGCCATTTATTTTTTATGATCTTTTAATTTTTTTTAACTTTAATTTACCTTTAACTCATACATAAAAAACATAAAAGTTGTACATATTTATGGGATAGCATGTGATGTTTGATACATATGTACCTTGTGTAATGTTTCAGATTAACCATTTATCTCCTCAGACATTTATTTATCTTTATGGGTTTTTTGTTTTTGTTTTTGTTTTTTTGTGGTACTGAGGCTTGAACTCAGGGCCTACACTTTGAGCCACTCCACCAGCCCTTTTTTGTGGTGGGTTTTTTTCAAGAAGGTTCTCACAAACTATTTGCCCAGGCTGGGTTCGAACATGATCCTCCTGATCTCTGTTTCCTGAATAGCTAGGGTTACAGGCATGAGAACCAATGCCGGGTGTATGGTAAAAATTTTAATTCTTTCTTCTACCCACGAACAGTAATAGTACTTTTTCAGAATCAACCTAAAAACAAGATTATTGTTATTACAGAATGGGATATGTTAACCTTGACAATAAAAAAGAATTTTTAGCCATGCACCAGTGGCTCATGCCTGTAATCCTAGCTACTTAGGGAGTTGAGATTAGGAGGATCAAAGTTCGAGGCCAGCCCAAGCAAATATTTCACAAGATTCCATCTCCAAAATAATCAGTGCAAAATGAACTAAGGTGTGGCTTTAACAGTAGAGCACCTGCTCTGCAAGTGTGAAGCCCTGAGTTCAAACTCCAGTCCCACCAAAAAAAAAAAAAGAGTTGACAGACTAGAGAGCTATACCTATCAAAAATTCAGAATTTTCTCCCATTTGAAGGATTTAATGAACTGTAACAGAATCAAAAAAGTTTTAGGTTACTGTGTAATAACCCTTTGAGTGGCTTTCCTGGCTCATACTGTAACAAAATGGAAGGTGGTTCAAATGTGTTACATTAGTGACGGTTAAAGCTGGTGAAAGAAGGTGGGTCAGGGTAAAGATGATGGTTAACCTTGACCACTTTTCTTCTCTCCTCATAGGTGGGTGGAATTAAAGACAAAGTGCTCGCAGCACACAGAGCAGGACTGAAGCAAATCATTATTCCTCAGAGGAACGAAAAAGACCTTGAAGAAATCCCAAGCAATGTGCGACAGGATTTAAGTTTTATCACAGCAAGCTGCCTGGATGAAGTTCTTAATGCAGCTTTTGATGGTGGCTTTCCTGTCAAAACCAGACCTGGTCTAGTCAATAGCAAACTGTAGGCCTAAATCTCAACCTGTTAGAACATTAGTTATGAAGTGTGGAAAGGTACTGATAAGGCTTGTTTATCACACCAGTGAGAGTGTCTCCTTAATCGGTGAGCATAATCACAACAGTAATGAATCTCACTCAAATAGTGGCTAGTGTTGATTACAGAAATGTTAATTTAATAAATTAGTAAAAGTAGAATTGTCTTCATTGGAATCATTAGCATCCCTGGAAAGATAAAAAGCAGTGGTTCTCAGTGTGGTACCTATAAGAGAATCATCTGTATTACCTGAGAAGTACAGATAAAAATATAAATCCTCAGGTCCACTGCAGACGTGAATCCAATTCTAAGGATGAGGTGCCAGTGGCTCACTCCTGTAATCGTAGCGACTCAGGAGGCAGAGGTCAGAAGGATTCCGGTTTGAAGCCCACCCAGGCAAACAGTTCTCAAGACTCTGTCTCCAAAAAAACCATCATAAAAAAGGGCTGGTGGAGTGGCTCAAGGTGTAGGCCTGGAGTTAAGCCCCAGTACTGCAAAAAAAAAAAAAAAAAAAAAGACAACATACAAGAAAAAAGTTCTGGCAGAGCAGCTCAAATGGTAGACTGCCTGGCAAGCGTGAGGCCCCGAGTTCAGTCCTCAGTAATCTTTTTGGAGGGGTGGACTTAAAGTAGGGTATTTGAGGCATTGTCTTGCTGTGTAGACCAGGCTAGCCTTGAACTCCTTAACTCTCTCGCCTCAGTCCCGAGTCCTGGGACTGTAGGTGTGTTCTACCGACCACAACCAACCAAAACTATTTTAAGAAGCCCTCCAGGTAATCCTGATACAGTCACTTTCAAGAACCACTGATAAGATACACAGCTCAAGTGGTAGCGTGCCTGCCTAGCAAGCATGAGACCCTGAGTTCAAATTCTAGTTCCCCAAAACCATTGCTATAGACCACAAATCTACCTGTACACTGTTGGATCCTGGGCAAAGATGAAAATACGGCCAAATATTTGTCCTAAAATGAACCCTTTGATACATCTCACTATACAGCCCTTACCGTGCTGATGGAAGCAACAGTAGTTTGTTTTGAAATGAGTGGCACGTGACTAGCAGACATCACAGGGGCATACTGGCCCAGGAACCCTGTAATCTTCCCCAGAGAAAACAGCATCTTGGGACAGTCCATAACCTTGGAGTCCTGACTCCAGCTACTTCTGTTTGATTGCTTGGGCCAATTCCCAAGTGTCAGCATCTTGTTCCTATGACTCAGTGCAAAGGCAGGCTCTTCTACTCACCCCCTCTGAACATTCTTCATGTCAACTGCAAATAATAATACTTAATTCAGTGTTACTGTAAAGAGTAAACGTTAAAACAGCATTAAATTCCAGAGCCTTCTATTACAAAATATAAAATCAGATGTATACAGATATTTTGGGATTTCTTGGATGAGAGTGAGGTCTGCTTGTAAAATCTTCCATGTACTCTGGAAGGAAAAGTCCAGACCTGGAACTAGTTGTGGCACTGTGGGAAGAACATCAGAATATCCAAAAACTTGGTACTGACTATCTTAGCTGCTACTGTAGCTGTGTCTTCTCAGTAACCTCACACCAGGAGTGAAAAGGCAAAATCGTTCATCCTCCCTGGGCAACCAGAGGGGTTAAATCCAACCCACTCCAACTGCCTTGTGGAGCCAGCAGTGGCAAGAGGACAGCAGGCCCCTCATCTCTAGCATTGCTTCTGGTTTCTTGGGGTGGTGGGTGGGGTGTTTGAAATCTGAGCTTTTTCACCTCTTTAATTGGGCCAAATATACATAACATTTACCATTTTCGCCATTAGGTGTCATAAGTGTACAATTCAGGGCACCAGTGAATTTAGTGTTGTCACTGTCCTTTTTTTTTTTTAGTTACAAACTTGGTACCCACAGAGACTTTGTAACTACCGTCCCACTTTGTCTCAGGAATGTGCCTATTCTTAGTGCTTCACAGAAGGAGAGTCATGGAATAGCTGTGTCTGGCACATCTCACCAAGTTGTCATGGTCTATGCCTGTACTATGTATCAGGGTTTTTCTTTATGGCAGAGTAATACTTCGTTTTATCTATGCATTCACCACATTTTGTTTGTCCTTTGATCAGGTGGTAGTTTTGTGAATACTGATGTGACACTAATATATAAATACCTCCTCAAAGTCCCTGCTTTTCAAGTTCTTTTGGGGTATATACCCAAAAGTGGAATTACTGGTTCATCCATGGCATGATTACAATGTCCCACAAAATAATATGCTGGGGGCATTAAGAAGTGATTACCTGTAATCCTAGCTACTTAAGGAGGTTGAGACTGAGAGGCTCTTGGTTCAAGACCAGCCTAGGCAAACAGTTTGGGAACCGCCCCCCATCTCCAAAATAACCAGATCAAAATGGACTGGATGCATGCTTCAAGTGGTGGAGAATCAATCTGCTTTGCAAGCATGAAGCCCTGGGTTCAAACCCCAGACCCACCAAAAAAAAAAGCAACCTACACGAGGGCTCCACCCTCCCTCATTAACAGACTTGGTGTCCTTATAAAAAGGCTCAAGGCAACTGGCTAGCTTTTTTTGTGCCCTTCTGTCCCTTCTGCCCTGTGAGGGAGGCGGCTACAAGATGCCATCTTGGGAGCAAGGAACGACCTGGCCCATCACCATTCAACATACCAGAACTGTGATCTTGGACTCCCTAGCTTCCAGATCTGTAAAAAAATAAAATTGTCTTTTATAAATTGCCAATCTTAAGTACTTTAATACAGAAGTACAACCAAGAAAATAATTTTGTATCTTAACATTTTGACCAGATTTGTGTGTGTATCTGTGTGTGGTGCTGGGGATGGAACACGGCCTTGGCTAAGCAAGTGCTCTGTCACTGAGCCCTGACCAAATCGCTTCCCATCTCAGCAGCACATTTTGACATTACCACCAGCAATATGCAGAGTTCCAACTTTCCACTCCTTACCACACCTAGTGGGTAGGATGTAGTGTTCCTGTTCACACTTCTAACGATTAGTGATGTTGAGCATGTTTTTCTAGCATTAATAGGATAGTGCAAGATCCCTTGTATCACAATCAGCTGTACTTTCTACTAACCAAATTCTAATTCAGTAGGGGTGAGCCTTGGGATATGTGTAGTTAACCAGCTCTTTTTATTCACTTTCCAAGTACTGAAACTAAAGTCTGGATGCAGGTGCTCATGCTTATAAGCTCATGCTTATGTAGGAAGCAGAAATCAGGACAAAGTTCAAAAACCATCTCTGGCAAAATGTTCATGAGACCCATCTCTTTAAGCTGGATGTGCAGAGGAGTACCTGTGGTCCCAGTTACTTGGGAGGCATAGGTAGGATGATCGAGGTCTGAAGCTAGCCACAGGCAAAAAGGAGTGACACCCTATCTAAACAATAACTAGAGCAAACTGGGTTTGGGAGCATGGCTCAAGTGCTAAGAGTGCCTGCCTAGTAAGCATGAGGCCCTGAGTTCAAACCAAGGTACTGCAAAAAAAAAAAAAAAAAAAAAGTTTATAGTGTGATTGAGGTGTACACATTTCCACTGTGTCTGTCCATTTACTGGTCCCTCTGATGAACTTCACCAGGAGCCATGCCACACATTAAGAATCATTCGATTACTTGTATGCAAATTCATGGATAGATGTCACCTGTTTAAGGTCATACTAAAATATTTAAGATAAGTTGGTAAATCTGACTATAGGGTAAGGTTACATGACTGTGAAGGGTATTTCACATACTTAAAATTTCCTTTAAATAAGGTGTTGGGAGTGCACACGGTATATGTGCTGATTAAAACACAATTTTTCTTTCTTCCCCTAACAGCAATCAAGATTTGCATTCTGGACTGGAGCATTAGCTCAGTGATAAGGGTGCTTGCTTGACACTGGTGAGATCCTGGGTTATCCACAGCACCCCCTCCACACCCAAAAAAAAAAATTTGCATTCTGGCCACACCACAGATCCTCTTCCTAACAGTGGGGACACAAATGGTCTCATTTCCAATGTGTGAGACATGGAGGGTTCTGACTCACTTGGACACAGTGGATAGTGGCGTCTACACTAGCTTCCAGTACTAGGTGACTGATGTGACAGAATACCTGAGAAAAACAAAGGAGGAAAGATTTACTGAACCCCATCACTGTGAGGCTGTGCTGAGGCAGGCCATCACAGCAGAAAGGGCATGGCCAACGCAGAGCTGCTTGCCTCATGGCAAGCTAGAGGCAGAGAAGAGGGCCGAGAGGAAGGGTTCAGGAGATAGGTCCCATCAAGGGCCCTCTCCCAGTAAACCTGCTTCTCGACTAGCAACTCCCCCTTCCCAACACCCATTCAGCTATAAGATAATCATTGGATTTAGTCACCTCCGCAAAATGCCACCAGCTTGAGACACCAAGTTTTCAACACAAGCCTTAGGTGGGGGGCACATCTCATTCAAATCATAATGACATGTCACCAGAATCAATGTTAGGCAATCAATTGCTGAGGGCAAAAGGTGCTTAGTGTTTTCCTTTATGGTCTCCTAAAATAGGATAAAACTTTTTGGCCGGCAGGGGGAGGGGTTTGAACTCAGGGGTCACAAGCACTCTTACCACTTGAGCCACAGCTCCAGCCCAAACCTTAATAAGGGTCTTGACACTAAGGCACACAAAAATGGTAATCTTATCAAATAACAGTTCCACATCCAAAGTCTCACTGGGATTATTAGATGTAAACATCAAGTGGTTCTGCTATAGTAACATAACCTGTTCATGGCCAAAATGTGGAGTTGGACCTGAGCCCCTCTCCCCATGAAAACTTCAGCAAAAATCAGGATTACAGTCAGTATACAGTTTGATAACTCATCGTCCAGTACTGATTCTCACTTCTTTATTTTGTTTTACTATTTAATGGGTCCTACAATGAAAATTATGGCCTTTACTTTCAAAAAGAAAATAAGCACTGAAACAGGAAGGAAATAGTAAAAGGATGAGAATAAACGGTCAAATCCAATTGAATGGCTACTGAGACATTTTAAAAGTTTCCAAAAGAATTTTAATTCTAGGGAAAGCTTTATTGGCAATAAAAATTCACTTATTTGGAACATACTGTAGTTTGTGCTTATTAATGAACTTTAGAATATTCAGTGTGTTTAACATATTTCTAGGGAATAGGAACTAAAACGCTACAGACTGAATCCTAACTTGTGTATTTAAATGTGACCTGACCAAATCAAGTATTCTTTCATTAACGTACAAACCTGTTAATTTAGAATTTAGAAAGATCCAACAAAATTACATCCACAAAAAAATCTTATCAAAGAAATTGCTTAAAGCTGGGTAAGGGTAGGGAAAATGTCCGGTTCAGCAGACACTGGAGATTTTAGACAATAACTACAAGCACTTTGTAGCATGCTTAGCCTTCCTCAGGCCCTTATACAGTGCTACAGCAGACCCCAGACACAGGAGGAACTAGGCAGAGGTTACTCAAGTTAGTGGGTACAGAATCAGAATTCAACCCCCCCACCCCCGGTCACCACCAAGTTTTAGTAGGTGCTCAGCAGAAAGTTGAATTTTGTTTGGATGATGCCCATATGGTCAGTTTTTTGGTAAATAACTAGCGTAAGATGACATAAGCAAGTACAATGCCAGGTAACCCTTGAGTTCTGAATGCCCATGGGCACCGCTCAATCGGCAGGTTTCCACAACACTCCTACCTCTACCTGTTCTTTTGAGGTGGTCTTACTATGTAGCTCATGCTGTCCTCCTTAGCTATGTGGCCTTGCCATTCCTGCTTCAACCTCTTGAGCCTGGCATTAGACATGTGCCACCATGCCAGGCTATCTGTACCTTTCTTGTATAACCTATACAAATGACAACGGGGGCAACTGAACTAAACAGAACTTTTTCAAAAGAAGAAATTCAAATGGTGAAAAAACACATGAAAAAATGCTCACCATCTCTGGCCATAAAAGAAATGCAAATCAAAACCACATCAAGATTCCACCTCACCCCTGTTAAAACAGCATCAAAACACCACCACCAAAACGTGTTGGCGAGGATGTGGGAAAAAAGGAACACTAATCCACTGCTGGTGGGAATGCAAGCTGGTGCAACCACTCTGGAAAAAATTTTGGAGGCTTCTTAAAAATCTAAACATAGATCTACCATTATCCAGCAATCCCACTCCTGGGGATATACGCAAAGGAATGCAACACAGGTTACTCCAGAGGCACCTGCACACCCATGTTTATTGCGGCACTATTCACAATAGCCAAGTTATGGAAACAGCCAAGATGCCCAACTACTGACGAATGATCAAGAAAATGTGGTATCTATACACAACGGAATTTTACTCAGCCATGAAGAAGAATGAAATCTTATCATTCGCAAGTAAATGGATGGAATTGGAGAACATCATCCTGAGCGAGGTCAGCCAGGCTCAGAAGACCAAAAATTCTATGTTCTCCCTCATATGCGGACTTTAGATCTAGGGCAAATGCAGCAGTGTGGTTGGACTGGGATCACATGACAAGGGGAGAGCACATACGAGAGATATAGAAATGGGTAGAAAACCCAAAACATGAAAGCGTTTGATGTCCCCATTCCAGAGGAACTAATACAGAAACCTTAAAGAGACAGAGGTTATCATGAGCAGGGGATCAGGAACCAGTGTAAAGATCAGTTAGAGTTGAATCAACATGGGTGGTAACACATGGGTACATGAGAGCAATAGTAGGAATCTTTCCATATAGCTATCCTTAACTAGCAAAAACGCTTTTTCTTATTATACTTATGTCTTTTTCTGATAAGGGCAGAACGGGACCTGCCTGGAACTGAGGGGAGAGGGAAGCAGGGTGGAAAAATGACCCAAACAATGTATGCACATGTGAATAAATGAAAAAAAAGAAAAGACAACGGTATTAGTTAGCAGTTCGGACACTCTACTCATCCCATTATATTCGATCTTTGCCCATTCTAATGTAAAGGTCACAGACAGACACCAGGTATGTCTGCTTTGATATAATTTTTTTTTAATTTGGATTATTTAACAATTCTTCTAGTCAGGAATCTGAGTAAGATTCTACCATAAGATTCACTGAAGGTGTTCCTGAATAAAAAGAGCTCTTAAGCAGGGAGAGGATGCATGCTACTATTTTGTCTGAGCTATACTATCTTACAGAAATGTAAGCAGGGCCTAAAAAGTCATGTCTACAATAAAAAAGCAAAAGGGAAAAAAAATCCGTCAGTGATTACTAACACAAAACCAGTCCACGACTCAATTCAATAAAACAAATACAAGTTTAGAAGTATAAAGACAGGGCTGGGAGTGTAGCTCAGTGGTAGAGTAGTTGCTTACCATGTGTGATGCCTTACGTAAGTATTAAAAGCAAAATAGCAAAGTTAATATAATCTGAATCTACCTCATAAAATCTGAAAGACACCAAAAAAAAGGACAAGGAAAAATAGAAATTATTCAGTATAACAAAGCAATTTAAGAACAAGAGTTAAACTTCATGAGTTAAATCTCAAAGGAACCAAGAAATGTGGCTGTATATCTCCTCCCAGTAAGTCAAGACTATTATGTCTCAGAAGAAATAATAGGTTAACAAACATCAACCGTCTCAGCTGTCAGACACACACAAAATTTACCTACCTTACTTTGCTTAAATTAGCAAAACCTAAAATACTTCACACTTCTATTCTGAACCTCTCCAGAAAGCAATGATAAAGTATCAAGACTTTTTAAAATTGTATTCCAAGAATACAACCAGAAAACATAGTAATGTTCAGAGGTTATTTATAGCCACATAAAAAACTCTGCTTCAACCAAGTAAATATATCAAACAAGAATCCTCAAGTTACCAACAATGATAAATGATGTTTCCTCAAGCTTGTTTTCTCCTTTGAGACAGAGTGACTACAGCCCAGGCTGGCTTCAAACTCAGGATCCTCCTGAGTGCTGTGCCTTCCAGAGATTAAAATGGCTCAGAAGATCTTGTGTGGTGACAGGGTCATGTAATTACAGTCTTAATATTTTTCAAAAATATGTACAAGTACATGCACTTAAATAGCTAGGCGGAATAAAAACATTAGCCATCACTGAAGATGACAGATCTCTTATTGCATACCATTGAGACTTCAAAGTCTACACAATAGGTACTATTTTTATAATGAAATGCATTCTACAATATATTAAAACCACAAAATGATACACCTCCACAAATTAATACTCAGTATATTAAATGAGGAATAAAAGCTGCTTTTCTAAACACATGCAAACAAATCAGGATATGAACGTGTGGTTGAACTATTCTTTTACTCCAAAAATAAGTATATTATACTACATAAGTGTATTACCAATATACGGAAGAACCTGAGCAATCTTCTCTCCTGAAAATGTTAACAGAAGTAACAGTTACCCACAACTGGTAGTAAGATAAGGGGAGAGACCAAGTTAATCCTCAGTGACTTTATGCTTGAGACACTCGGTTTAAAAACACAATAATCTTTGCCCATTCAGATGACAATTTCAAAATGTTGCCCTCTGCCTGGGGGCAACTAGCAAGTTAGCTGTACTAAAGGCATAATAATTGCATCTAACATTTGTTGAGTGCTTACATGCAAAGCATCGTTTCAGGTAACTAACTTGTACCTCACTTAACCCTTCACAGTGCTACACCAACATCACGCGACTGTTAAGTTGGGTACAGGCAGACTGGCACTTGGGTACTTAAGTCTAGCTGCAGTCAAGACTTAACCACCAGGGCTTATGAAATGCTAAATTAACTCGCCTTTATTGCTATTTAAGGGGACAAAGTGATTGCATTTTAGTCTTCCAAATTTTGTTGTGAGACTCAAAATGGAAAGGAGAGGGGCTGTGTAGTCCAAAGACCATATACTCAGTTTTTTGCTGTGCTTCAGAATACAATTCTAACACCTGTCAAAATGACGAGACACTACTTTCTGCTACATAGTTAACTTTACCAAACTTAGAACTGAAGCAGACACACTGATTGCTTAATTTGCCAGATAATCTTTTTAATGAGAATTATAAAAGACCAAAACATTTTTTGCAAACTGCCTTTTTAAACAAATGATTTGCTTTAAATTACAAATACTGAGTGTGACGATGCCTTCTTTTGCAAAACCAATAAATACAAGAACAAATTTTAAACATGTGATTTGCCCAAGATATTTTGGAAAAGAAAAAAAAAAAAGCCTGATTTTTTTTTCAGTTATTTATATAAATGAGAATGTATTCCCTAACCTTTCAGAGAGTAAGCCTGAAAGCATGACTGGATGAGAAGGAGTGAGATAGGGAGACACACTGAGAAGACCATCTTATAGCTGCTTCAAATAGCTTGATAATTGTTCTGATGTTACCATTCCTTTCTGGAACCGTATCTTCACAAAATAGCTGAATTTAAAATATTTCTAATGAACTGATTAATGAGGGAAAAGAAAATACGTACTGAACACAAACTTTGACATAAACAGTTATGCATATCAAAAGACTAACTTTAAAAAGGTACAAAAAAAGTGAGATAAAACCTGAATTACAGAAAAGTCAAATTTATTTAATGAAAAACTAGAATAAAAATTAGCAAACACACACACCCACACCCCTCAAAAAAAAAAAAAAAAAAAAATCCCAGCAGCACTAGGTATTGACTCACAAAGGGGAAAGCAGTGGTCTGAAACCACTCAGATGGCTTGTCAGTTAAAGGAAAAAACACGCACACGTACACACGCACAATCAATCTACAACAAACACAAAATTCAGAATTATTTTACAATGCTTCCTTTCTTAATACAAAAGATGCCCATCTTGGGGGAATATATATATTTTTCTCAGTGGTTTACTGTTGACTTATTTTTAAATATATTAGTGTTACTACATGCAACTGTTTCCTGTATTTAACAGCCTTTCTTTTTATTTACCTTCATGTGTCTAGCTTCTACCTACCAAGAGTTTCAGGTTGGCAGGCAGATTGGTGTCTTATTCTCTGTTAAACTGAATGCAACAGTTTTAAACACTGGCCAGAAAATGTTTGATTGCCATTTCAACACATGGAAATAGTTACATTGATGCCTAAATTGCCATTTTCTGCAAAAAGCTGTGCAATGCTGGTGTCAAAGACTAGGCAGTCACTATTCATAATGGCTGTTGCAATTCCCTCATGAATAGATCGAGGAGTCGCTTCCCAAGTCAATCGCCGCCTATGACCATTTAGCTCAAGTCGATAAGCAAAATTTTCAGCTTGCTTGCGTGTTCCTATCAGCTGTACAATTGCGAAGAATTGCTGATGACCATCATATTTTTCCTGTTTCTCCAAAACTAACATGAAGTGAAAGCCAAAACAGGACTGCATCATCACCCAGTCAACAGCACCAGGAAGATTAATGTCTGTAGCAAGGAAAACTATATCCTCTCCCTGTAGGGTTGTAATGGACTTGTGCTGATGCATCAGATGGGGCATCACAGCATCCAAAGAGCCTTGCCATTTGCAGGAAGCACCAGGGCATGGACAGGAGTAAGGCCTAAACTCACAGAGCTCTTCATGGTCTGCTTTCTCTGTGTGTGGAAGAGTTACTTCGCATCCAGAAGAGGCATATTTACAAGGGAAGAGTACTGAATTGGCCACTTTCTCCATAGCCAAGTTGCGAATGGATCCCAACGGGCCGCGACAAGTTGGACAACATGTGAGTTTTGGGCGACAGTTGCTACAAACGAGATGGCCACTCTGACACTGGAGAATGGGTGGTAACACATAGTCAAAGCAGACAGGACACTCAAAAAGACTCGCCAAGTCATTGTTGGATGCAGTTGTGCCAGTCAAGGCAGGCACCCTCTGGGATGGTGGACACTTGGAGGTACCAGTAGGTAATGCTGTAGCAGTCTGACGGCTCATTTCTGCAATACAAAATAAATAAAATAAAAGAAGGTAGGAGAAAAATAATTACAACTATAACTTATTGTGTAAGTAATGTTTACATGCTGGAAATACTTTTATATTTTCATGCAAAACTGACTATGAGCAAAAGAATAAAGGGAACTATATAGGGCTAAACAAAGCATATATAAAACAAGACACTACATATGCATTTTGCTTTTGGAAGTTATGCGATGGATATGCCTTCTTTTCAAAATATTCCAGAACACAGTTAAAATCCTCTTTAACCGCTAAGCAGAGTGGTTCAAGTGGTAGAGCACCTGCCTAGCAAGCATGAGGCCCTGAGTTCAAAAAGCACTAAAAATCATCTTTGGATGGACTACACAGATTAAGAAATTGTACTATAACCAACTATGAGACTGTGTGTAAGCACCTTAAGTACAATAAAATCCATTTTGACTGGATTTTTGTCCTCCTCTTTGAAAGTCCCTATTTCTTTTCAATTCTGATTCAGCTGGTGACAACTTCAGGGAGTGATGGCTAAGAAAGACCTATATCATTTACCTGCCAAAGATCACCAGGAGTACTGACTTTGATCAACTATTCCTAGAATCTTCTCCAGAGATATATTTTGGAAGTGTAGGGAATCACACAGTAAAGGGACTGCTGCCATCCCATTATCCAATCATCTAATAAGTCTTACCCCAAATCACCTAAGCATTAATTTTATTTCCTACCACCCTTAAATAAAAGTTCCTAGCCAGACATTTAGAGAAAGTACCTCACTTTATTCCACTTCCATTCCACAATATAAATCAGTACAACGGAAAAGGAAAAGTCAGAAAAAGGTAAAAAGAGAAGAAAAACCACTACAGACACAACGCTAGGTAGAGATGAGGGATGGAGTCAATAGGTAAAGAATTCCTTGTGTACTGGGGCTCACCAGTGTAGTTGAAACATCAGCAGAATCAATATTACTTAACATCGGAAGAAATGATCCATTAACTAGTGAGGCTGAATCAAACATAAACAAAATGAACATCTTCTCCCAGGATCTACTTCTGCAGGAATATAGTGGAGTCATTATTTGCCTTGGAGCGACAAAATTCAATCCTGCTACTGCTATCCTAAGCGCTCATTCCCAGGAACTGTACTACACCGTATTTCCAAAAAATGAAAGCCTGTAATGTTTTCTCTCAATTATATTATCATTCTCTTGTAAAGAACCTTTTAAAAAATGGACAAGAACATACATGGGGGACTATGAGGATAAAAGCAGCAGGTGGTGGGAGGGGGAAAGGCAAGTGAGAAGGGTATTTCAAAATGCATGCATGCGTGCATGAGAAGGCCATAATGAAACCCAGTTTTAAAAATTGCAAGGAAGATTAAAAGGGGAGATGGTCTAAAAGGGAGAATAAGAACAAATAAGAGGGGTGGATGAGCAAAGTATACTGTAAGCATGTATGGAAATAACACAATGAAACCCCCCCCTCACATTGTAAATTAATATGCACTAACAAAAATGTGGAAAAGGGTAAAACAAACAATGCTGGTTATGGATGTGAACAAGTAAATGCAATTTGGGTTTTAGATTGTTCAAGTAAAGTTACCAATAGATGCTGTAAAGGGGTGAGGGAGAAGCATGATAAAGGTGCCAAGGGAAAAAAAGGATTAATTCCTTTGTAACTACAAGAATATTCTAAAGTTCAAAGGGTAACAAAAATACTGAGAGGGAGAGTACACCTGTAATCCCAGCACTCAGAAAATTGAGGCTAGAGGACCACTGAGTTAAGAGGCCAGAATGGGCTACACAGTGAGACCCTGTCTCAGAAAGAGTGTCAAGAGGTATTTAGCATGCAGGAAGCCCTGGGTTAGATAACCAGCACAGCCCTCCACACACTGCCTGGCTCTTCAGATGGTCTTAGAACATGAATGAACTGAAGCCTGTTGCAATCCAGGTGTCCTGACAAAAGGGCTGTAAAGGAGCTCTCCTGTCATCCAGCTTCCCTGAGTAAATTCTTCACGTATGTGATGATGTATACATTTTATGTCACTCCTAAAACAATGGACTTTAGCACTGCCCAAACACCATGTCTGGATGCTCCCTGTTTATTTCGTGGTCCATTGCATGCTGCTTACTTAGGTTAACACAGTAATTAGAAAGTGGTTCCTTGAACACAACACATTCTAAACCACCAATGCCTGTCGAATTACTAGACTAAGCAGCTATTCACATCCAAGGGCAATCAGTCCCCTTTGTATTTAACATAATATAGCCACTGAGAAAAAAAAAAAAAAGTTCAGTTTCTTGACCTAGCATAGTAGCAACATTTATCATTAGTAGTCCAGACTCACATTACAATCTAACTTTCCAAGCACTATACAAAGCAATCTTCTTTCTTATTCAAAGTGCGAAAAACAAATGAAATGCGACCAGTATTTCTTGTTAATAGAGGTATTACAAGATAGAAACTGCTAAAACCTTCCAAAGCTCCATCTTGAACCAGAAAAGGAGTCCCAACCACAAAATACAGCAGCCCTGCAGCCGGAGCCAAGGACAACCCTGCAAAGACGTGACAGAACCTGAAGTTTGATTTAAAAACAAAGTTCAGCACCTCAACTGAAACGCCGTCGCCAACCTCGGAAAGAGCGAACGATGCATCAGCCATTCCCAGACCGCACGCATTTACAGCTTTTGCGTGTCATCTCAGGAGCCTGGTCCAGTAAGTACCTTTTCTCTTCCTTGTCCTAGCCGCTGGTAAGCATGTAAGCAAGACTCCTCTCCAGGAATACATAAAGTGCAGGACAGGCTTTCCCGTCATGGGAGGCCAGGGAGCACATTGCGTGTCCCTAAGCCAATCTGTAACAAGGGCCTCTCCGGGACACCTCCACCCGTTCTGTGCGTCCACTCCGTCCTTACGAGAGCGGGCTACAGAGGTAGCAAGGCGGCCTCCTGTGCCATCCAAACGGCGAGCACACCTCCAGGGGAACTCCAGACCGCAAGCCAAGCTGAGCTGTCTCCTAACTTGCTTTTCCCAGAGTCCCTGGCTAAGCCGCCGAGCGCGGGGAAGGCCGGCGCTGTGGGCACGGGGCGCACGGCGCTGGGTGGAGAGGAGCCATTTGGAGGAAAGCCGGCTCCAGCTCTGGGACTTGGTGGCCCAGGGCGCGGCCACCTTCTGGGGAGTGGGGCGGAGCCGGGGCCGGCGGGAGGCGGGGCCCCTTCAGGCTCCCCCCATCCGCCCCGCACACACTAGCACCACCCAGCCCTCGACAGTGGCCACATCCCCCGGTGACCTTGTGCCTTGGTGTTACTACCGGTTTATTTAGATAAAACCATGTTTTCTTCGAAACAGAAGAATAACGGCAAATTTAAGTTTTCGATCTAACTGCACACACAGGCATATGGGAAATGTGTGGACCACACTTTCCAAGTTAATCCATTTTCAGAGTAGGAATCTACCTAACTCACCCACTACCTACAGGATTTCCTCAATTCTGACTTGCTTCTCCACTTCTTTCCCTGGCAGGGAAACCCCCTCCTGTCTGCAGTGGGAGTAGACACTCAAGTGAAGACACATGAAACTCTCAATTCAACTCCAAACTGGGATTATATTCCCTTCCCACTCTGGGAAAGCCATCTTGATTGGTCTCATTAAATTTAGAGTAGCTTGTTTTGTTTTTAAACAAGCATTACCCTTGTCCCATAAAGTCCTGTGGGCCTCAGACTTGCATTGCGTCAGCTAAAGCATTTAGAGGTTTAACCTGTCATTACATCATGCTCATGACAGCCTTTAAACACAAGAACAGACAGGGAGTGAGCCCTATGCAGCCAAATGTAGATTACCCACTTTCAGCAACAAATTTCAACTCTAACCACTCCTCACCCTACCAACACTGTGTTCAATCACCTAGACCTCATTTTAACATCATGCTATACAAAACACCCTTGAAACAGGGGATCAAAAGACCATGAATTAGTTATCTATGACAGAATACTGGTGATATTTCCTTTAAAAGGGACAACAGAGAAACAGCTTTATAAAGATTAGTGTGGGGCTGGGGTGGAGTTCAGTGGCACATTATGGACTTGGACCATGTGCAAGGTCCAGATTCAATCTCCTGCTCAAAAGTCAAAACTGTGAAAACAGTCAAAATCAGAAAAAATAAAGCATTTACATTTTTTAATTTAGTAAAAAAGATAGGATGCAACTATTACTGCCTCTCTTTTACTTCCCCAAAATTGTCCTACTTAATATTTATTACAAAATTAAGTTATAGGGCTGGAGATATAGCTCAGTGATAAGAGCATGTGCCCAGGCATAAGCAAGGTCCAGAGTTCAAACCCCAAACAGCAAAAAATGTAATAAAATTGCTAAGATTACAAATTTGCACTTTGTATTAGGGATATGTGGTAAATAAAACCTCATTCAAAACATTTAAGCTTTTTCTCCTTCCCAGAATGCTTTTTTGTGAAAAGAGCACTTTCTACATTTATTTGACATTGTGGTGGGTATTATGTAGAAAACTAAAAGTCTGCTTCTAAGAATTATGTGTTCCTCACACACTGACAAAAGCAAGGCAAGTCTTAAAACTTCAACAGCATAAAACACCAAAAATTAAAAGTCATTGTTATAAAGCTATTTTTGCTTTCCCAAATCATAGAAAAGCAATACAAGAAATAACTATGTTTTTCCTACAGCTCCATTTTTTCCTCAAAATAATTCTGAAAACTTTGTAGTTACAGAAATTACAGGTGTAGTAAGATCTAAAGACAGTGGGGAAAGCCCAGGAAGAGGACCTGACAGAAAACTGCAGAAATTTAAAGCAAGATGGTGTGTGATTTCATCACACAATTTAAAATTTATTTATTATTCCTGGAATTTTCCATTTAAATTTTGGGACCACAGTTGATCACAGGTAATTAAACCTTCAGAAACTGAACCCATAGGTAAGGGAGAACTGCCACAGTAACTTTCCCCTTCCCTGCCCACCAGGATAAAGCCTGCACCTTTTTCTGTTCCAACCATAGTACCTAAGAAAGGTTTTCAGAAAGGGTGGAAGTGATTAACCTCCTATTAGTAGTCTGAAGCTCCTGCGTAAGTTTCACAAACTTGGGATTTTAGTCAAAACCCTCTTCTTAAAACTATGTGGCGTAGGTGAAAAACGTAATACCATTTTTATTCTAATTCCTTTTCAGGTAATCGTCCCTCCCCACCCCATGGGTCACTTGTAAAACTCTTTACCCTTTTAAGAGCATGTAAAAAGCAAAGCGCGTTTTTCATTAGGACAGAGAAGCATGCTGAACATTTCTGAATCAAAATGCTCTGAAATCCAAAACCGACATGATACTCAAAAGTTTGGAGCATTTCAGATTTCTAGATTAGGAATACTTTAACCAGCTGAAAGTCTACACAAATATTTCAAAATCCAGAAAAACTCCAAAACTCTGAAACACTTCTGGACTCAAACATTTTGGATATGGAATAATCAACCCCACCTGCAAACGTCTTCTTTTAACACTCTTGTCAAGGACTATGGGAGTCTTTTCAATCCAAAAGCTGTGGAATGTCTTTCACTTCCACAGACTTTTCTTTGACTCTTTTCCATCTATCATTTTGATACTGACTATCCCTACATCTATCTTCCAGTTACGTATTTTTGTTCTCATAAATTTATGTTTTAGCCAGGCACCAGTGGCTTACAACTGTAAATCCATAAACCCCAGCTACTCAGGAGGCAGAGATCAGGAGGGTAACAGTTTGAAGCCAGGCTGGCAGATAGTTCAAGAGCCCCTATCTTGAAAAAACCCAACACAAAACAGGGTTGGCGGAGTAGCTCAAGGTGTAGGCCCTGAGTTCAAACCCTAGTGCGGCAAAAAGAGAGTTGGAGCACCAGCCTAGAAATATAAGCCAAAAAATTTTAAGTATTTTAAACCACCATTACATAAATGTTTATGAAAAATAACTACTTCCCATAATAACAGGGAGAAAAGTGGATATTTTACATTTTTGCACATCTCTTTAATGTCTGACTTAAAATACTTTTTGATTCTCGTTATGCTTCTGGATTTAATCTTGCAATTGCATCATTGCAGCCTCTGGGAAATTCCACTGTACTCTCATGTCAAAAAAGTTTCAACCCTCAAAGGCCTCAAGAACTCCTAGACCTGGGAGCCAGTGGCTCATGCTTGTAATCCTAGCTACTTGGGACACAGAGATCAGGAGGATTTGAAGCCAGCCCCAGGCAAACAGTCTGGGAGAGACTATCTCAGAAGAAAACTATCACAAAGGGCTGGCACAGTGAGTGGCTCAGGTAGTTCGAGTGCCTGTCTAGCAAACATGAGACCTGAGTTCAAACCCCAGTACCACAAAAAAAAAAAAAAAAAAAAAAAACTCCTAGGATTCCTGAACCACATTACAGAACCTCTGCACCAGAATATAAACTTCATGAGAATAGACAGTTTGTTCACTCACCCTTCTACCTCCAGCACCTAGGACAGTACCAGGTACTAAAACATTTCTGAAAGGAACAATTTAATCAACCAAAACATGATCACAACTAAAACTCACTCACTCCTGATCCCTGCAAGTCAGATATATTTGTTTGTGAATATCCTTAAAAAGGATTCACAACTGAAATTTTAAAACAATGCTGAACTCTTTTGCACCATAAAGGTAATTTTTAAATATTGGATATTTACAAAAATTGGACATATTTACATATCAATCTCTGAAGTTTTCAAAATATTTCTTACATTTACGACAGTTCCATAAACCCATCTCCTAGAGAGTAATTTCATTTTTCAGTAACATAGCTCAAAAATGTGGCTGCATGTACTGAATTTGACTAGAAGCTCAACCTGAATTCTGACTTTAGCTTTTAATATTACTGACTGATTGACTGGTAGTACTTAGGGCTTCAAGCTTGGTAGGCAGGCGCACTACCACTTGAGCAACTTCACCAGCTTTTTTGTGGTGGGTTTTTTCAAAATAGGCTCCAACTATTTGCCAGGTCGAACCATGACCCCCTCCTGATTTCCTGAGTAGCTAGGATTACAGGTGTGAACCACTGGAGCCTGGTTTAGTTCTTATATTCAGACCAGGCAAAAAACTACAATATCCTGGGATCTCAAATTTTCCATCTATGAAACAAAATTATCACTACTGACAAATTTTTGGACATTAACTGAGATCAAGTATGTAGGAAATTTCAGTTTGTTACCAAGTGATGTTTACAGAGCCACAGTACAAATCCTGCACTGAATCACTATATAAGACGAAAGTTATATACATTAGGATTCTACTAAAAACTGTTATTTCATTCTACTGTGAAAACAGGTTCTATACTATAGCATGAATTCAATTTGAGACTGCATCTGAAAATGGATTAAGATCAGAGGTTTACTGTGAAAGCAGCTCTATTTCTTGGGGCACCTACTAACCAGCAGCATCATACACACAATATTTTAAAGTAAAATTTTTTCCCATCTTACAGATGAGGAAGTTGAAGATCAGAAGAAAAATTAAGAATAAAAGCAGAGAGCTGGCAGCATGGCTCAAGGGGTGGAGCTGCCTAGCAAGCCCAAGGCTCTGTGTTCAAACCCCAGTAACTACAAAAACAGTTACTTTTATAGCCTGGTATCAGTCACTCATGCCTCTAATTCTAGCTACTTGGGAGGCTGAGATTGGGAGGACTGCAGTTCCAGGTCAACTTGGGAAAATAGTTGAGAGATCCCCATTTCCAAAAATAACCAGAGAAAAACTGGAGATGTGGCTCAAGCAGTAGAGTGCCTACTTTGCAAGCACAAAGCCCAGAGTTCAAACTTCAGTCTCACCAAAAAAACTTTTTAAAAAAGGTTACTTTTTAAAAACTTCAAAGAAAAAAAAAAAGAGTAAAAACAGCAAGACTGTTTTGTCACTAAATCTTATCTTTTTAAAAATAACCCTAAAAACAGTATTACAATCTCATCCTGGCATAGAACATTTTCATTAGCATCCAACTCATCTTTCCGACACTAAAACTTTTGTCAAAAAACCTTTCTTATACTGTTTTATTTTTGGTGGGACAGGGTTTGAACTCAGGGCTTCTTCGTATTTGCAAAGCAGGAGCTCTACCACTTGAACCACACCTCCAGTCCATTTTGTCCTGGTTATTTTTTTAGAGATGGAAGTCTATTTGCCCAGGATGGCCCCCAACCATGATCCTCCCAATCTCAGGCTCCCAAGTAGCTAGGATTACACAGACATGAGCCACTGGCGCCCCAGCTCCCCTATATTCTTTAAGG